GTGTGTGTGTGTGTGTGTGTGTGTGTGAGTGTGTGTGTGTGTGTAAAGGGGGGGGGGGCGGACAAAAGCTCACGCCTGAACCTGATGGCTGTCCGCTGCTGAGCAATGAATTCCCAGAAGCGCGCCGCTGCGAGTGGCGCCGGGCCCTACCGCCCTCATGGTGGCGTGTGGCCTGCGGCCTTGCGCAAAGCCTCTCCCCCACGGCGCGGGTTGCTGGTTCTGTTGTGATCCTGACCGGCATGCTCACCGTGCCTCAACGGTCCCTCAACCAAATGGCATCAAGGAGTGCCCGCTGGCCCCCGGCTGCGCGCGCGAGGCCAAGGACCTGGGGCTGTGCGAGGCGGCCAAGGACCCGGCGAGCCGCAGCGGGCCCTCGTCGCCAGCCAGGGCGCGCGGCCCATCGCGCGACTCCTCGGACGGCTGCGCCGACCAGCTGGTGGCCGGCGGCGCGGGGGGTGGCAGCAGCGACGGCTGCGGCGTGGCCAGGGCGGCCGGCGGCAGCTAAGCGAGGGGCGCATGGCGGGCTGCGTGCCCCAGTGCCGCCACCTTGCTTCTACACAGGTTCCCGGCTGCGGCCATCATGGCCCTGTCGCAGGTCAACCAGAGAGTCTTCAAGACAGCGAGTACAAGTATTGCAGAGACCAGCCGCAGGAAGGGCACTTTCATAAACACAGCATGCAGGCCTCCCAGCCATCCGGTCGGCTGACCGCTTCCGTTGGCAGCAAGGCCTGACGCGGCCAAGTGATCAGCATCGTGGCATCCGCAGGTGTCGCAGGTTACAGCGTCGCTTGATATCTTCTAGACAGTCCCCCGGACCTCAACCATCGTCATCTAGCAGCCCTACCTTACTGGCCGTCCCAACCTTTCCTGACCTTTGGGGGCTGAAGCACTTGGCTGCAGGGCTCATCGGTTATGCTATGGCAGGCCGCTGTCCCTGAACCCTTCACCGCATGCTTGAGCACTCAGGGGGCACATTTTACTGCTCCTGCATTGCAAGGCGCTGAAGCGCGCTTTGCACGTCGTGTCGGTTTCATCGCCGCCTTGGTCGCTTTGCAAGCCGCACGGCGGCCCGCTTGTCGCACACACAGTCACGCACGTTTGCAGCGCCCCTTGGGATCCCAAATTCGCCAAGGCATCACATGTTCGGATGCACGCCAGCTGGCGTCTGGTGTGCATTTTGTGCTGGGCTGGAATGTAGAAGGGCAGCAGCTTGGGTCTGACAATTTGGGACTCGGCGCGTGGGCTCTGCCTGGACGGAAACCTGCTGGGTTGTTTATACAAGCAGCCTGGATAGGTAGGGATCTGTTGACTGACGCATGTTTCAGGGGTGCAGCTTGCCAACAGCGGCTGGCGCATTGGCTGGCATCGCCCCTGGGGTGGTGACGAGAATTGGGCTTGGGATTCCCAAACCATGGTGCTGTCCATTCCTTTGGCAGCACCTGCAATTGCAGTGTTTTGACTGACTCAGGACTCGTCCAATTTGCAGCTTTCCTGACTGCCAAGCCTCTCTTGAGTCCATTCGCGTGCTGATTTTTTGCGGCGTTTGTTGTGGAAGGCACGCCGTTTGCGGTGCCCCCGCCGCTTGTGCTTGCAAGGGGACTCTTGTATGCAACGCGCAGTGTCCCTGTACTCTGTTTGATGTACAAGATGGGGCTTTGTGGGGACAGGATAGCGGTCACATCATCAAAATAATGTGCGAAGGCAAGGGAACAACCAAGGCCATGTGTGTGCAGTCGCAACGCAGGGGCTGCATTGATGTCACCGGGTCACCCGTCAGCCACAACCTGCTTGGGGCATTAACATGACCGTATATGCAGCTGACACGTGTGAAATCTTGGTTTAAAAGCAGTTATGCAGCCGGGAAAGGTCTGCGTCAATGCTGGGGCCAGGGCACAGGTCAGCCCCACGCGCGACGCAGCGGCCACGCCCTGCAAACCCAACACATGGACCTGGCCAACCGCTTGGCGTGGAAGCGGCCCAGGGGGTCGGCAACACGGCCGATTCTGCTGCTACAAAGCCTCATGGTCGTATATCATCGCAACAGGGAGTATGCGGGGACTCTCGCGGTTCCTCAGGAGTTCCAGCTGATGCTGATTGTGCTCCAGCAGTGGGTCCATCAGTCCAGTGAGGTTGACCAAGTGCATCGCGACACGACTGAGGCACTCTAGTTACAATCATTTTTGCGTGACATTTAAACCTGGAGTTCGTCAATATGTGGTGTACTTTTGCAGCGTACAGTAACTCAGTAACAGTGCAATCGGAGATCTGCGCACTTGATCTCAGGGCTCGTCCTTGCACCGGTATTGTCGTGTGGAGACTAGCAGCGGATAGTTCGAAGCATTGCGTTTGCTATCAAGGGCAGCGGCGTCGGGCCGCGTCATACGTGCCGGGATGCACGCGGACGCGCTCGCCTCTTTTTGCCGCCGCCTGCCCAAGGCAGAGCTGCACGCGCACTTGAATGGGTGCATCCGCCCGGCCACGCTGCAAGAGCTGGCGACGTCAATTGCACCCGGGCGGTTCACTGCAGAGGAGCTGGATGACCTGGCCTTCAAACGTAGGGTGAAGCCCTGTGCACATTGTGCATGCGTGAGTGCGTGCAGGCATGATGTGCGTATGTGCGTGCATTTCTGATTACGTGTATATCTATTTATGAGAAGAGGGCTTACCATGTTGAATGCAGGCAGGGCTTTGCATGCGGCAGGGATGCAAAACAAAGCTAGTGTGGTTGGTTGTCAAGCACTCCTCCGAGTAATGGCCCCCACACTTATATCGCATCCCCTCAGTCCGGTATGGCAAGGTTCTGTTGGTAGTGGCACATGCATGGCATCCTCTGTCCCTTTATCACGATGTACTCCCTCAGAGGACCGCAACCTCGTCTCAGTATTCAAAATGTTTGACGTCATTAGAGCAGTCGCGACGCGGCACGACGGCACAGCACGCATAGCGCGCGAGGCGGTCGAGGACTTCAGGGCGGACGGCTGCGTCCTGCTGGAGCTGCGCACCACGCCCAAGGTGGGGGGGGGCAGGTGGAGCGGGTTTCGTCTCCAAATCATCCTCACGAACCTATGCAGCTGCTGCTTATGTTGAAATGTGCGAGCAGTGACCCTGGCACAAACTTTGCGCACCCCCGCGCTTGGGATGCATAGGGTGACTGAGTGCTTGTGCTGCAACCTCCTTCACACTGAGGCTCCATGCTGTGGCTTTTGCTGCTGCGACAATGCGCAGCACCTACCAGGCGAGGGTGTCACCAAACGCAGCTACATCGAGGCGGTGCTGCGGGGGCTGGAGGAGGCGCAGCAGCAGTGGCGGGAGCAGAAGCAGCGGGAAAAGAAGCAGCAGCAGCTACAGGAGCGGCAGCAGCAGCAGCAGCAGCACCAGCAGCAGGAGCAGCAGAACCAGCAGCAGCAGCATGAGCAGCAGCAGCACCACCAGCAGCAGCAGGAGCAGCAGCATGAGGATCGGGATGTCAAGGGTGGGGAGGAGTCACCTGTGATGGACGAAGACGACATGTTGGTTCGGCTGGTGCTTTCCATTGACAGACGGGAAGACACGGCGGCGGCCATGGAGACGGTGCGTGCATGGGGCACTTCACGTTGGGACGGATGTTGTTAAGCTGTTGATCTAGAAATTCAAAGCCGCCTCTTGTCGCCCTGTCGTCTTGCCAGCTTCCCTAGTGATGCAGATTTGTTCAAGAGCCCAGCACGGCCACGCATACCCTGTCACCAACCATCGCCGTTGCACTTCAAGGTCAAGCTAGCGGCGGCGCTGCGCTCTGAGGGGGCGCCCGTGGTCGGCATCGACCTGTGCGGCGACCCCGCCGCCGGCCAGTGGCAGACCTGGCTTCCCGCGCTGCGCGCCGCGCGCGCCGCGGGCCTGCGGGTCACGCTGCACGCGGGGGAGGTGCCCAACGCCGGGGAGACGGCGGCCATGCTGGAGTTTGGGCCGGACAGGCTCGGCCACATGTGCTGCATGACGGAGGAGCTCGAGGCGCAGCTGTGGGTGGGTGCATGGGCGCGCCCAGTGGGCACACATGGGTCTGTGCAGAAGCCAGGCTCCAACGCAATTCCCTCATGCTGGCAATTTGCTTGCCCAGGGGACGCTTACAAAAGCCTGGTTAAATGCGCTCTGGTGGCAGGATGTGCCCCCCCAAAAGGCGGTTTGGGAGTGGTGGTCCCTTGTGCATGCGAGCACAATGCTGTGCGTTCCGTTGGTCGCTTGACGCCAGGGGCGCCACTCACATGTTGTATCGTCGCGCTGCCGACTGCCGCAGGCGAGCAAGATTCCTGTTGAGCTGGTGAGGCTGGGGCGTTGCGCACGGCATGTCAGAGCTTACCACCAGCCCCGAAACATGCATTGCTGGGAAATCGGCTGCTTCAACTTCAAGCAGCCGTGCCATGGGATGCCCCTGCAGCAGGGGCGCAGCACTGATGGTCGCACGCCGAGCAGAAGCAGTAGCTCTGTCCTGCAACAAAGCGCGACGGGCCCCCAAGGCGATGCCTTGGACAGACGGCGCACAATCACATCTGTGCACGCGCGGCATTTGGGGCTGTACAACATGCACTGGCGGCACACCCACAGCGCTGACATTACATAATCGTATGTCCCGCAGTGCCTGTCGAGCAATGTGATCACCCAGTCTGTGCCCAGCCTGGCAGAGCACCACTTCCGGGAGTTTGCGGCGGCGGGCCACCCTGTCGTCCTGTGCACCGACGACAGCGGCGTGTTTGCGACGAGCCTCTCAAAGGTGCGTGGGAGCGCGGCGGAGGGTGTGGACGCTGGAGAGTGAGTTGCGTGTGTGATCACGCAGGCGGAAGTTGGGGGCAACACCGCAGCAGACGCGTGGAGTGTTCCTGCGGACCCGAAGGTGCAGTATGGACGCCGCGGTGCCCAGCTTCCTTGCGCCAACTTATCTTGGGTTTTCAATGCTACCTGTTACTGCGCCCCTTTGCGCACGGCCGAGCAACGGCTGTGTGAGACTCAAGCTCAGCAACCCGCCCTTGGCCAGGCCCTCGCCTTGCAATTTGCTGCGCATGTGGTGCCTGCCTGACGTTTGTCACACAACCTCGTCGTTATGGTGTTGCCTGACAGGAGTACGCCTTGGCGGCAGAGGCGTTCTCTCTGAGTGAGGACGAGCTGGTAGACCTGGCGGCTGCAGGCGTGCGCCACGCGTTCGCGCCCGACGACGAGCGGCGGCGGCTGCTCGCGCGCGTGGAGGCGTTCAGGGGGCGGCGGCTCGCGGAGCGCAGCAGCGGGGCGGGGGCGGCGTTGAGAGCGAGGGCAGGGGCTGCGGGGCCTTGTAACGTATAGTAACGGCGGCACGCTGCTGGCTGGGGCAGGGGCCCTGCGCCCCGCCGCCCCTGCTGCAAACCCTAACGGCCCGCATGCGTCTGGACCGTTTGCGGTGACGGCCCTTTGCGGGCAGGCCAGGGGGCGGGGTGGGCGAGGTCCAGTCAGCGGCTCGCAGGTGCAATGCTTCACCCAGACCAACTTCTCCTTTGTGTTCCTGTTTGTGGAAACGGCAGGGCTGTGTTGTCTGATGCTGTCGTGCAGCACCCGCCGCAAGAGTGGGTGACATCCTGCGCTGAAGCAGAAGCAGCGCATGCAGCAGAGCGCGGACTGGCACCAGGCAGCTCATTAGGCTTGCATCCGGTTCTTGCACGCACTCTCGGCCCCGGTCGCATCTTCCCACAACGGGGACTATTGTCAGCCCTAGTGCCTTCGCGCAGCACTGCACAAGCCAGGAGATCGCAATGCAGGCCTTGCGCGGCAGTCATGGCGTTAAGATGGGGACATGTACTTCAGGAAGGCCAATCCTGGCGCCCCTGGTGGCTGGCAGTGCTCCCTGCACTCGGCCCGTGATGGGCCGGAGCCCCGTCATTTCCGAGTGAGCCCATCACGCGCTATAATTGTTATACCTCACTTTTTGGTTGCTTGGTGCATGGAGGGCCGGGTGAGGCTCCGGCTTGCCTGGGCCTTTCGATATTTGCGCTGACCTCCCTGCCCACACGCGCACTGGTCTCTACCTCTGGCGCTTCAGGCTTCCTCAGCCTACGCGGGACGTCACCTGCTCTGGCGCTACGGCTCTGCGCTCCGTGAGCGGGCACTTGCCTCCAGATCACACGCCCAAGATTTGCCTCGACCGAAAGCGGCCTGTTTGCTAGTCTTATTGCTTCGATCGCTCGAAATCACGGCCATTTGTTGATCCCGCTTGCATCCTTTGGCCCCCGCAGTACGACCTGCCCATCAGGGACGAGATGGGGCCCTCGATCGCGGACACGGCGGCCTGGAAGGCCCTGCAGGAGCATGTAGTGGATATTGAGCAGACGTGAGCCAGTGGCTGGTTCGTTGGGGCTCGTGAGCTAGTGTACTGCGCGCCCCCAGTGCGGCGTCGTCAGGGGCGCGCAACACCTGTTGCTCAGTTGCAGCGCTATTTGTCGCACGCAAGGACAGACTGTTGCATCGGTGTAAGATCTCGAGGCGGCGCAGGGCGTCCCCTGCCCCATTTGGCGCGAGGTCGCGTGCTGCGCCCATCCGCACTCGTCACCGCTCAGCGCCTGACGCAGCGCGCCGCCCTCACTGGCAGCCGGGTCTGCCCCCCCTCACCCCGCCCTCCACTACCCCCTGCCTCGGGCAATGCCAGCCACCTCAAGGATCTGATGCTCAACCAGCAGCGCTGCGAGGCCCTCATCAAGGAGGACCTCGGGCTCTACATCGACTTCTCGCGGCAGCGGATGACTCAGGAGACGGTCAAGGTGCGATGCATACCTGTTTTCGTCAGCGCGCCCTCGAGGCACCAGCTCGCGGGCGTCCGGTTTCGCGGCGCCTGGGCGTGATCACGAGTGGCAGCGGCACCTCATTGGGCTGGCCCTTAGGGCAGGGTCGTGCGAGGCATGCAGCCTCCGATTTGCGGGAGGTGGTCGGGGATCAGGGCTGGGCGCTGTGGCAGCCAGTTGTGGCGCATGGTGCTGTGGCAGTAGTGCGCAGCCAGCGGGGGACTCAGAATGCGGGGAGGGGCACTGCGCTGGCGGGCAGGGGTGTGCGTGCCCACGAGGCATCACAGCGCGAGCCGAGGCAGCAGCAGGAGCAGCAGCAGGAGCAGCAGCAGGAGCAGCAGCAGGAGCAGCAGCAGGAGCAGCAGCAGCAGCAGTAGCAGCACCAACAGCAGCAGCTCGTCCAGCTCACCGGCAAGGGGTTGTTTGACAGGCGGGCGCAGCAAGGCAGCACCCCATGCCTGTGCCAGGAGGAGACAGCGCGCATTGGCAATAGCAGCCCAGCAGCTGCTTTGGGCCCTCCGCTCCACATCAGCCTTTCAACTCGCTGCAGCCTACAGCACGTAGATGACCCCAGGCTCACAGTTTCACAAAGAATCCCGTTCTCCTCCCCCCCCAAGCACAAGTTTGCACACATGCACCCGCACACACTCTCTCTGACGAAAATTTAAACCACATTCACACACACATACGGACACACACACACACACGCACGCACGCACGCACGCACCACGCTCGCACCACGCACTCACTGACCTGCGCAGCTGCTGATGGACCTGGCTGAAGCTGCCAACCTGCGGGACAAGATCAAGGCCATGTACAGCGGCGATCACATCAACAGCACCGAGGACCGCGCAGTGCTGCACGTCGCAACGCGCGCGCGCCGCGACCAGGTGTGCCCGCGCACGACGCTGGCAGCGGGGGCGGGCGGGCGCGGGCGGGGCAGGCGCGGCTGGCGCCTGTAGCATTGGAGCGGCGGTGCAGCTGTGTCGAAACCAGGCGGTTTGCAGCCAGGCGGCAGCCAGCCGCCAGCCGCGTTCGCGCCGCATTTGACGCAGCAATGGACCGCTGTGGCACGAACGAGTCGCGGCCAAACAAATTTTACCGCAAATCAAACCCGGTCAAGGAGTCACTTCACATGTCAACCGTGATTGAGCAACAACACCTTCCACCCATGGCCCCAGGTGATCAAGTGTGACGGGAAGGACGTGGTGCCTGACGTCTGGGAGGTGCTGGACAAGATCAAGACGTTCTCGGAGAAGGTGGGCAGACGCGCGTGCAGATCTGTCCTGACCTGATCTGATCTGGGAGGGCAAACAAGATGACATCGCAAGTGCGCATTGGCGGCGGCGTTTCCTTTTCGCGCATGCAGCTCCATTCCGGAGATCTGGCTGCTTGTTTGTTGACTCATGCGTGCGTCCCTGCGTCAGGTCCGCAACGGCGAGTGGCTGGGCGTCACCGGCAAGCCCATCACCAAGGTGGTGGCCGTCGGCATCGGCGGCAGCTTCCTGGGGCCCCTCTTTGTGCACACCGCCCTCAGGTGGGCGACGGCCGGGCGCTGCGGCGGGGCGTGGTGAAGGGGGCCCGTTAACACGCGGCACTCGCCCGCGGCCATCCTGATTGGTCTCGCAGGGGGTGCACGTGCGCGCGCCGCCGCTCGTTTCGTCTGTCGTTTCAATCAGGGTTGTGCTCGTTGCACACGGTCAACATCACCCTTGCCGGCGCCGGCCCCCCTGAACCGCCCAACACCTTGTTGTGCAGGACCGAGCCGCGCGCCATGAGCTTCAGCAAGGGCCGCTCCCTGCGGTTCCTGGCAAACGTCGACCCGATCGACGTGGCGCGGGCGCTGCAGGTGAGCAGGCGGTGCTTGCTGGGTTTATGGCGCTCGGGGCGCCGGTGTCGGGACGGGGCCGTGCGGCCCTGCAGGCGGGGGGAGGGCTGGAGGCCCCGGCGGCAGCGAGGCGGGGGACGTCGCTGGGGGCGGCCTGCGGAGGCGCCACACGTCAGCCGCGGTAGAGCGGCGCCCAGACGGACGCCGCGCATCACGTGGTGGCACCTCTTCGAGGCTCGTACTTCCTCCCCTCACCCGTTTGTCACTTGCGCGCCTATCTACCTAGCCTCCAAGCACCCAGCCACCAAGCACCCGCCCATCCGCCACCACAACCAACCAACCTATCAGCCAACCACCTTACCCAACCAACCACCCTTTCAACCCAACCACCCCAAACCACCCACCAGGGCCTGGACCCCGAGGAGACCATGGTGGTGATCATCTCAAAGACCTTCACCACTGCGGAGACCATGCTCAACGCGCGCACATGCAGGGCCTGGCTCACCGCGCAGCTGGGTGGGTCTCGCTTTCGACCGCACCAGGCCGCCGCTGGCTGCCGTCGCCGCTGCCGCCGCTGCTGCTGCCGCTGCTGCCACGGCTGTTCCCGCTGCCGCGGCTGCACGGCGGCTTTGGGGAGTTGGGGCGACGCTTTCGTCGCCGATGATCGACACCGTACCCCACACATGCTTTTATGAATCAACCTGCCCTCCTACCCACACGCCGTCCCCCCAAACCCACAGGCAAGGAGGCCGTGGCCAAGCACATGGTGGCGGTGTCCACAAACCTCAAGCTGGTCAAGGAGTTCGGCATCGACCCAGAGAACGCCTTCGGCTTCTGGGACTGGGTGAGCCGCCGAGACTGTCTGCCTGCAGCTTTCGGGCAGCTTCCGTGTCTGAAATCTCGTGTGCATGAGCATGGCCGCGGCTTGAGGGGCCGGGTTTGAAGCTTCGGAGCTGCGTGGCAGCGCCCGACTGCCTGCGTTCCTACGTCCAGCGAACGACCCCACTTCGACACGTCCGACTGCTCCCCTGCGCGGTGGGGCCGCCAACACGTCCTGTCCGCACACGCGGCGGCTCCTTTGGCAGCACTTCCGGCCCTTATGCCCCGGCCGCCTCCACCACCACCATCACCACCCCGCCAACTCACCACAACCACGCACCCCCATGCAACCCCCCGCAGGTGGGCGGCCGCTACAGCGTGTGCAGTGCGGTGGGCATGCTGCCCCTGACGCTGCAGTACGGGTGGGACATCATGGGCCAGTTCCTCAACGGCGCCAACGCCATGGACGACCACTTCCTGGTGGGGGGGCGGGCGGATGTGGGGTGGGAGGGGGTGCTGTGCACGTTGTGCGTGCCGTCCATGCTGTGCGTGCTGTGCGTGCTGTGCGTGCTGTGCGTGCTGTGCGTGCTGTGCTTGCTGTGCATACTGCGCGTGCCCGCACCCAGGATTGTCACTTTCGAGGGTGGGGCTTGGTGTGGGGGGAGTGGTCGGCAGTGAGTAAACAATCGCGTGCGCGTGCACGCACATGTGTGTGTTTGTTTGTATGTGTGTGTGTGTGTGTCGCGTTCTGGGTGTGCACTTGTGCCTGAACTTCTCATCTGTCCTCGCCACCCACCCCACACACCCCACACACCCCACACTCCCAGAACGCCCCCCTGGAGTCCAACCTGCCCGTCATGATGGGCCTCACATCACTCTGGAACATCTCGTTCCTGGGCTACCCCGCGCGCGCCATCCTGCCATACTGCCAGGTGGGGCGCGGCCGCATGGTTGTGGGGCAAACCATGTCCCGGCATCCGTTGTGGGGCGAAGCACGCACCCCGTGGGCGGCCGCTGCGCCGAAAGGCCACCTGCGCCCCCCTGGGCCCGCTCGACATCCCATGTGCCACGCCACGGAGCACCTGCGCGGCCCCGCCGTCCGACACCCCTGCCCCGCTGGTCCCGCC